CCACTCCCCCCCCCCTCAAAAGGTGCCGGCTTGCTGCTCCTGATCGACGTCATCCGCTCCCTGTCGCCCACCCACGTCGTCCAGCTCAGCGCCGAGGACTTCAAAGACCTCCCTCTGCTCTCCGCCGACTACATCCGCGGCACCCCCGGACTGCACACCCGGGGGAGACCCTCCCTCAAAAGGAAACACCCCGGAGGGACCCATGCTCCACAGCCGGGCCATCAGCTGCTGTGTGTCCAGGCCATATTTCCGGGCGCCGGAGTCCCTGGCGTAGGGTACGTCCCATCTTGGGAAAGACAGGAGGAAAAAAGGAAAAATAATTCAGATTATAAATAGGTTTTTCTTCCGGCTCCCCTGATCTCACCGGTTTTTTTGGCCTGATATTTTCCGGATTAAATTCATTGGGTAGAAAGTCCTCGGTTTACAGCCATTCGCTTAATGGCCCAAAAAAACAACGGGCCCCAGAATTTCCAGCGTCGTAAGTGTGAGAAAAGCAGTCATAAATCCTTTACGGGGGGGGGCAGGAAATGACTTACAAACCGTTTTTCCACACTTAACGACCAGGGAAAGGCCGCTGCCCGTTGCGGTCGTAAGAAGGGAACGCTCTGTCCTTGTCTCGCTGCCCCTCGAGGTGGAGAAACATTTCATCCTTCTGCCTGGTGCACATCTAATGCGGGCTCTCCTCGACTTGCGACCATTGGTTTAGCGATCATTCCAAAGTTACGACGGCACTGAAAACAAGCGACTTAGGACTTTTTTTCCCACACTTACGACCGTCGCAGCGTCCCCGTGGCCACGTGATCCACATTCAGACGGCTCGGCCACTGGCTCGTATTTACGACCGTCGCAGTGTCCCTTTTTTGCGACCTTCGGGCGAGTCAAGAAGCCGGATTCGCTCCTCAGCTTAAGAGCAGCTCTGCAGGGATTCCCTGCATAACGGTGGAAGAAAGTTGGGTGGGGGGAGAACTCGCTTAACAGGTGTCTCACTTAGCAACAGGTTTGGGGAGGGGGCTCCGCTGGGGTCGTAAGTCGAGGACTACCCGTCATTGATGTCCCTCCGCTTCCGTCCTCGCAGGCGAGTGCACAGCAGTACCCTGAGGAATGTCACCATGGTGGGCTACCTGGGTCAGCTGCAGCCCCCCCACATGGAAGAGGCCGTCCCCCTGACCGGCCTGGTGCCCTATCAGGTGAGACCCACCCCCCCACCCCCCAACCCCCCCTCTGGGCAGAATTGGCAGGCAGAGGGAATGGAGGTGGAACTCCTGGAAGAGTCCAATCAGGCGGAAAATAAAAAGGGCTTCTTTAGCTATCGCTCCATATGTAGCCCAGCCCTGATGGTGTCACCTGGCTGGGTCACACAACGTCTTCTGGAAGGAAACTCCCAAGCTCAGCGAGGGTCCCACGATTCTCCCCTTCCTCCCTTTCCCCTCCCCTTCACTCCTTTCCCCTTTCTCCTCCTCTTCCCCCTCCTCTTCCTCCTCCTTTCCCTTCATTCCTTCTTTTTCCTNGATAGATAGATAGATAGATAGATAGATAGATAGATAGATAGATAGATAGATAGATAGATAGATAGATAGGAGATAGATGGATAAATGGGTGGAGATAGAGAGAGATAGAGATGATAGATGGACAGACAGACTGACAGAAAGAAAGAAATGGATGGATGGATAGAGAGAGATAAAGAGATGGATGGATAGATAGGTAGAAGTCGGATGGATGGATAGATAGGAGATAGATGTATAGATGGGTGGAGATAGATAGAAAGATGGATGGATGGATAGGAGATAAATGGATAAATAGGTGATGGATAGATGGGTGGATAGATAGGAATTGGATGGATGGATAGATAGATGGGTGGAGATGGATGGATAGATAGCTAGATGAAAATGGATGGATGGAGAGATGGGTGGAGAGAGAGAGAGAGAGAGAGAGATAAATGTCACCTGATTTCACAAACTTTGGTACCACAGTTAAGGAAATCACTGCCCTTGTTAAGGGACCATCTCCCTGCTGGCTTCCGACAAGCCAAATCAACGCAGGAAGCCAGATCCTCTTAACAACTGCCGGATTCACTTAACGGCCGCATTCGCTCCACTGAAAAGTCACAAAACGGGGCAAGGCTCAACTACGGCCTCGCTTAGCAACGGGAGCACGGGGGCAAAATATTTAGGATGACGATCCTCGGACCGCTGCAACTTTCGGCCCCGGCGCCCTCTTTCCGCTCCAGGCCCCCCGTTCGCCCACCAGCGGCCCCCTCGCAAAATGGCCTACTACGGGGACGCCTCTTGCGAGCACGACACGGAGCGGTACCTCGACACGCTGAAATACGTCTTCGGAGGCTACGAGAGAGACATCCCTCTGCTGGTCAACACCATGGGATGGGTGAAAGGTAGGGGGGGTTTGCGTCCGCTAAGCCAGTCTTCCTCCTGGGCTCCCTCCCCTTCCCCATGTCCGTTGGGGAGGGGGCTTCTATCCCCCGGCCCTCCGTGGTCCAAAGGGCCCAGCGGAGGGGATACAACCGGGGGCTTTCCGCTGCACCGTAGAGAGTACCTTAACTTCCTGTGCCGGGGTCTGGTTTGCCAATGGGTCAACGGCATTGCCCGGAGGGTCGTGGGTTGCCCCCTCCCCTCTTTGGACGATGCTTTGTAGCTGCCTTAAGGAAGTTCAGAACGTCCTTAAAGATCCATCTCATCCTGGGCACCCTTTTTCTTTTTTAACTATTACCATCGGGCAGCCGGTACCAGAGGATAAAAAAACAAGGACAGCTTGGCTGAGAAACAGCTTCTGTCCCAGAGCAGTAACTACCGTATTTTTCAGACTATAAGGCGCACCAAGATTTTGAAGGGTGCTTCAAAATTAGATCAGTGCTGTAGTAACCGTACGGTAATCATTAAGACCACTAGCGATGATGTTACCTAGGTGGGTCATGAAAAGGAGACTGTCAGCACCAAGGACCCTACACTCCTCCTCCTCCTCCTCCTCCTCTTCCTCCTCCTCCTCTTCCTCTTCCTCCTCCTCTTCTTCCTCCTCCTCTTCTTCCTCATCCTCCTCTTCTTCCTCCTCCTCTTCTTCCTCCTCCTCTTCCTCCTCTTCTTCCTCCTCCTCTTCTTCCTCCTCTTCCTCCCCTTCTTCCTCCTCTTCTTCCTCTTCCTTCTCTTCTTCCTTCTCTTCTTCCTCCTCTTCTTCCTCTTTTTCCTTCTCTTCTTCCTTCTCTTCTTTCTCCTCCTTCTTCCTCCTCCTCTTCTTCCTCCTCCTCTTCTTCGTCCTCCTCCTCCTCTTCTTCCTCCTCTTCTTCCTCTCCCTCCTCCTCTTCTTCCTCCTCCCCCTCTTCTTCCTCTTCCTCTTCTTTCTCCTCCTCCTCTTCTTCCTCCTCCTCCTCGTCTTCCTCTTCTCCTTCCTCTTCCTCCTCTTCTTCCTCATCCTCCTCTTCTTCCTTCTCTTCTTCCTCCTCTTCCTCCCCTTCTTCCTCCTTCTCTTCCTCCTCTTCTTCTTCCTCTTCCTCCCCCTCCTCTTCTTCCTCTTCCTCCTCTTCTTCCTCCTCCTCTTCTTCCTCCTCTTCCTCCCCTTCTTCCTCCTCTTCTTCCTCTTCCTTCTTCTTCCTCTTCCTCCCCCTCCTCTTCTTCCTCTTCCTCCTCTTCTTCCTCCTCCTCCTCTTCCTTTTCTTCCTCCTCTTCTTCTTCCCCGGTCCTCCTCTTCTTCCTCCTCCTCTTCTTCTTCCTCCTCCTCTTCCTCCTCCTCCTCTTCTTCTTCCCCCCTCCTCCTCCTCTTCCTCCTCCTCTTCTTTCTCCTTCTCCTCCTTCCTCCTCCTCCTCCTCCTCTTCTTCTTCCCCCCTCCTCCTCCTCTTCCTCCTCCTCTTCTTTCTCCTTCTCCTCCTTCCTCCTCCTCCTCCTCCTCTTCTTCTTCCCCCCTCCTCCTCCTCTTCCTCCTCCTCTTCTTTCTCCTTCTCCTCCTTCCTC